CCCCAAAACCCCAAAACCCCAAAACCCCTATTATATATTTCATAGTTGATAGATTTATTAAATATTTATTGATATTGTGACAATGAGTAAGCAACGAATCGAGACCAACAACATTTCAGACTTCTTGGGTACCAGCATTGAAAGCACTCACCAAACAAGCAAACACAAACACACATATCTTGATAGCACTGCAATCACAAACAAGCTGCATCCTGACACCACTCTGACTTCAAGTGCCATCGGAGATGCAACGAGTTCGCGTGAAAACAATATTTCTTGATCCATGTTACAAGAACTCCACCAAACTCAGCTAGCAGATCTCGGGATGTCAACAGACTCAGTCGATATCATTGTACCACTTCAAAGAGAATACGATCAGCCTGACTACAAACTTCTGGATCAACATGATGATGATACTGATGAACTTGAGAGCGACCAAGTGGTAGCCAACCCAAAATAAAATTGAAAACTGGCTCTCTTTAACACTCAAAGGTGCCATCAAAAAGGGTCTTCTAAAAGAAACACCCTGCAGTGCCTCACACAAAACTCTATCTTCAGAACAAGCCAATAAACCCACCAAGAAAGTTGATGTTCTCAAGAAGTTTGGAATCGACAGAGCCACCTTGAACAGCAATGGAATCGATGACGCTAGCGCCACCAGAGTCTACAGAGCATTGTATGTGTACAGTCTCGGGTTCCACCAACTCATTCAGGAAGCCTTGCAAAGAGGCACAAACAGGAACTTGCTGCTCGCAACCATTTGGAAGGTCTACTCGGTGTTGCTCCAATATGTTGGCAAAACCGAGTATGCAACCATGGTGTCCAACTTGGCCAATGCTTACCAGATGGATGTAATCAGTTTGGAACAACAGATGAGCAAACAGAAAGACCATTACACTCAACACAAACAACAAATGACAACTGAAATTCACAGACTCAACGGAGAGCTGTATGACACTCAACAAAGTAATATCGGTAACCACTGACTTTTAGAGCTACAAAACAGCACTGAAATGGTAGGAACTCTGACTGACGAGAATGCCAGACTCCAGTCAGCAATTGACGCTGAGAAACAGCTGAGAACCCACTTTGAAAGCAGGTTCGCCAACATCGAAGGCAAACTCAACCAGAAAGCAGTAAGTGCAGCTGTGAACGAGTAACTGTAGACGGATTGCAAGATCGCAGAGGAAGAACTACAAAAAGTAATGGATGAAGTGAAAGAACTTAAAGAGTCTTTGACAGCCAAAGAAGATACTATAGCAAGTTTGAGAAAAGATAAATGTACTAACGAAAGACTTTACCATACAAAAGAATCTGAATGAGCTGGACTCAAAGAGATTCTGCTGAGTAAAAGAGCTGTCATTACTGTACTCTTTTTATTCTCTTAATCTTTAGCAACGTGATAACAGAGTTAAAGAACTTGTGAGAGATATTGCTGAGCTCAAAAGGAGTATTAATGATAATGAGAAAGAAATCAGCGATCAAAAGATCAAGGTATTTTTAGTAACCATTCCAATAGAATAGCGTGATTCAGTCGAAAATTATGGACGGGAAGAATGAAGTCCAAGAGCTACGTAATACTTCTTCAACAACTTTAGAATCAAATTTCGACAAAATCAAGCGCATCAATGCCGTTCTTGAAGACAAGATTGCAAACATGAATGAAAAATACGATGAAATAAATCAAAAATACTCAGAAATTGATGCTAAATGTATCTCATTAACTGAGGTAGAGAAATACTTAAGGAAAGATAACCAAGACTATCGTACCAAGAACCAAGAGTTAGAAAAATCCCTTGAGTTTCAGAAAGAGTAGGCTCCTCTTAACCCAAATAGGAAGAGTGATGGATTAGAGATCAAGATCAAGATAGCTGTTGAAAAATAGTAAGCTCACTTTGTAACTCTAGTGACTTGATCAAAAAGGATTATGATTCTACCATAAAGTCCCTTGAAGGTACGATTCCTTAATAAAACTTCAGAAATTAACAGGCAAAGGAACAAGTTAGAGGACAAAGTTATGATCGGTGAGAAACGTGCAAAGGAAGCCACTCAAGAAATAGAGCAATACAAGAAGAATCTTTATGTAGGCCTTCACCTTCATCTCTTAGAATCTAAAAGCCCACTCAGAGGGGCTGCAGTTAAAACTCAGAGATCTCGAGGAAGAGTTCCAGACGGTCTGCAGAAGAGAGACTGCTAATGCTGAAATGTCAGAAATCCAGATAGCTTCACTAGAGAACAAGTATCTCGGGATGTAAGTGACTCTTCACAAAATTTAGGTTCAAAAAGTATGAGGAGGAGCAGAAATAAAAAGAATGAGTGGATTCGTACATACAGAAGAAGACATAAAGAGCATCTTGAAAATGAAGTCAAGCTTAAAAAGTAAGTTTCAGGTTTATCTTTCAAGGGCGGAAGGGGAGTTCCAAGAACAAATCACTAAAAATGTTGAGCTTCAGAGTGACAATGAAGCAATGAAATCTGAAATCTACGACTGGGAGAAGAAATATGAGCTTCTGAAAAATGAGAAGATTGATTTGCTTACTAAAATGGATAGGAAAAAGAATGAAATGGATTCCTTAAAGCTTACTCATGAAAACCTTGAGAAGCACAACAGCGAGTACATTAAGAGACTGAGGGACATAAACAGAGAGCTTCTCAAAAAGTCAGGAGAGATCGAGAATATAAAGGTAATTCTCTGCTTATATTATAGCAAATGGAAGTTGAGGACTTGACAACCCAATGTCTTAACTATGAATTAAAAGTGACTAAATACAAGAAAAATTTCCTAGAGGCCAAGAATCAGGTGTATCAAGCCTCATGTGATGTGAAACAGGCAGAATCTAAACTCAGCCTCACTTTAGAGAAATTTGAAGTGATGAAAACAGAGAATATTGATGTATTTATATTATTAATCCTTAGCTAAAATCACGCTTGGAAAGCATCCAAACAGAGAATACTGTGAACAAGACTAAGATCATTAAGGTAAGATTTTATGAGAATGATGACTTAGATGGCTACCTTTGAAGAGAAAGTCAAACTTCTTACAAATCTTGGTGAACGTAAGATCTGTTGATAATCCGTAGAGTATAAAGAAACTATTAATAGCTTGAAACAAGAAAATAAAGAGCTAGAGCAGGAAATTGGAAAAGTGAAAGGAGAATTAAAGAAAATTGAGGACAATAGACCTCCATCTTTTGGGCTGAGTATGATAGGATTCATATATTTAGAGAAAGTAATGGTTGAAAAGAAAGTTCAAACTGATCATAAAATAACAAGTGAAATAAAACATTGTATATTTTATTTAACTTTTAGCTTTAAAGTTTGGCAAGAAGTCTTCAGTAGTATCAATTTTGAGCTACAATAAATCATGCAAGGATCTAACGGAAATTTCTAAGATAAAAACAGCCAGGAACAGTATGATTAACAGATCAATGTCAAATCAGACTTTGTTGCCTCATCTTTATCAAAGAGAACTTCCTCAAGAAGAGACGAAGACATTAGAGAAAACTTCTATACCAAAGCCTAGTGACCAATCAAGAACGCAGAGGGATGTATCTCAGAGTATAATTAATCTCCCTGAGGCTAATATTACTCCAAATTTCCAAGGTTGGAAAGTTGAGCATACTCACGGCAAGAAATCTCGTAATTTCAAAGTAACCTCTATTCTAACCTCTAGGGTCCAATCAAGGCTAAAGTTAGCCACTCGATGAGGAACATGTTAAGGCATGCGTACAGTAAAAGTCCCACTCACAGGTACTCTTAAGCCTTCATTCCCCTCAAAAAATAAAAATATCATGCATAAATCTCAATAAAAAAGATTTTGATAGGGGTTTTGGGGTTTTGGGGTTTTGGGG